CTTCCAGGAGCAGTGGGGCTGGGAGGGGTGGGGGTGGGGTGGGGTGCGGAGGGGGCCCCGGGGCTGGGTAAAGGCGGCTCTAGCTGTGTGTGGAGCCCCGTGTATGTACATAGTAGGGAGCAGCTTCAGGTGTGTCTGAGGGAGGCAACTTCACATGTATCTGGGAACCCCAGGTACCGGTATAAGCAAAGGAAGGGGACTCTGGGTGAATGTCAGGGAGGCTCTAGGTGTGTGTTGTGTGTTTGTGGAAACTCCCGGTGTGCAGGGGGGGTTTAGGGATCCAGGTGAGTGTATGTGTGGGGAGAGGCACAGTAGTGAGGAAGGGGGGCTGCAGCTCGCATTCAAGGAGTTGCTTCCCTCCCACTCCCAGGTAAAGGAGCTCGAGGCTTTGGGCGGGGAGCCCTGCTCCGAATGAACATCTGGCCAGCTGTCCGCGGGACCTGCAAACAGCTGAAGCTCTGCGAGCATTGTGTGGAGGAGGACAGAGCGCACAACCTCTCCGGCTGCGTGTGGGAGCAATGTCGGCCCGAGGAGCCAGGTATGGAGTGTAGCCCTCCCCGAGGTGAGTGCCCAGTTCTGAACCCCAGGGCCTTGGCCCCTCTCCCACCTCTCCCCTGCACCCTCTCCCACCAGGACACTGTGTGGACCAAGCTGAAGTGATCCCGGAAGGTTGCTCTGTCTACAACCACTCCGAGTCGTGTCCAGGTAGGGGGCTCCCACTGAGTCGTGTCCAGGTAGGGGGTTCCCACTGAGTTGTGTCCAGGTAGGGGGCTCCCACTGGCCTAGGCCAAACCACACCTCTCCCCTGCACTCTCTCCCACCAGGACACTGTGTGGACCAAGCTGAGGTGATCCCGGAAGGTTGCTCTGTCTACAACCACTCCGAGTCGTGTCCAGGTAGGGGGCTCCCACTGGCCTAGGCCAAACTGGGGGGTGGAGGAGGCTGAGGTGCCCCAGCCAGAGCCTGCGCTCCAGGAGAAGTCCATCTCTCAGGGAGCGGACCATGCCTACCAGCACCTGGGTCCAGTTTCCGTTCTGCCTTCAGCTCACAGAGAACTCCTTCCCTCTCTGGCCTGTTTCCTCGTCTGTAAACTGGTACAGATGGAGGATACAGGGCAGGTGTGTGGAGCCGGAGGGGGGAGGGTAGCTCTTCTCATCTAAAGCACAGTGAGGACTTGGGAAGTTCAGAAGCGAACAGGGGAGGGCTTTCTGGAAGAGTAGCATGAGATGACCCTGAAAGGTCGAGATGGAGAGAGGGCACATTGGTGGAAGGAACCGCATGAACTGAGGCTTGGGAGTGTGTTGGGTGGATTTGGACCTGGGACAGAGGACCTGGTCTGAGTCAGAAGCCCAGCTGTTGGCCCGGCCTGGGGTCTTGACGGGAGTCAGGAGATGGGAGAGCTGGGTTTTTATGGATTCCCTGTCTCTTTAGCTGCCCACCACCACCCCACCTATGAACCGAAGACAATCACAACAGGTAGGTACTACCGAGGGGAGCTGGGCAGTGGCAGGACTAGAGGTGCAGGGAAAGGCAGAGCTGGGCTCAGGCACTGACAGGCTTTGTGACCTCAGACCTGTGACTTCTCCCTCAAGCCTGTTTCCACGTCTGTAAAATTGGTTGGGAACCACCTTACATTGTTGCTGTGAGGATCTTATGAAAGGTGTGTTGCCCCTAGTTCAGTGTCTGATGGAAGGAAGGCGATAAGCAATGGTGGTTCCAATCCCTTCCCCCCAGCACCACTTCTGAGAATCAGGGTGACCCCCTCAGGGACCTGCGCTTGGTGCTGAGGGTGTATGGCTCAGTTTGCCAGTGAGATGTCCACTGTGACCACCCACTGGTCCAGAGAGGGTCACGAAGCAGATCCCCAGCAGAACAGAGGCAAGAACCCCACCCCTGGGCCCCCACTGCCCCTCGGAACCTGGAGTTCAGCAGGCTTGGCAGGGCTGGCTGAAGAGGCTCTTGGTTAATTAAAGCCAGAAACGTGATCTCGGGGGCTGAATTATTGATGGTCATCTCCCTCCAGCTCGGCCCCAGATCAGTCTTGTGCAGCTCATTTCTTCCCTCTTCTCTCCTCGTCCCCCACAAAGGGCTCCCTGAGCTGCGGCTGGGACCACCTTTGCCCTTCATATTCTCAGACCTCCTAACACAAGCCACCCCCTCTGGGGAGTGGGCCAGCTCCCCGCGGGGCCCCTGTCCACTACCCCAGAATGATCTCCCACCACCAGCCCTGCCCTGCCCTGGGCACCAGGCCCAGGGCCTGAAATCAAATCCCTATTGAGAGTGGATGGCGAACGTGGCACAGCTGGGAGCCACCCAGGCTCCGTCTGACAACCATGGTCCCTGCGGTGGGGCTGGGGAAGGGTCAGGGGACACTGTGTACGTTTGGATTATGTCCTAACTGTGAGGAGACTCTAGGCAGGTCTGGCCCTCAGAACCTGGCTTCTCCCTCTGACACACATCACCTAGTCTCCATGTATCCACTCCGTGTGGGAGACCAGGGTGTGGACCTCCCCCTCTCCCTCTGCTCCCTCCCTTTCTAAGTTAGGGTTCTGACATGGGGTAGCTCCATGTCAGAAGTCCTGAGAGGGGGCCATATCATCTGTCCCTGGACTTTGAACCCCGAGATCCAAGGTCAATAGGGACCTGGATGTCTGAGTCCTGGGTCCATCCTCATCCCCTTGGGCCAGTGTGGGAGGGGAGTCTGGAAGGGAGCTCCGTTGCCATCTGGCCCATGTGGTCAGGAGGCTGAGGGTGTGAAGAGCATCCAGACACAGAGCAGCTCAGGAGCAGAGCCAGGGCTGGAGCCAAGGCCCTGTCCCCCCAACTGCCTGCTGCTCCGGCCCCCAGAGTGAGGACTGGGGCCTCCAGGTGGGGGTGACTGGGGCAGGCCTGGGGTCCTGTCCTCGGTGGCCCGCTGTGACCTCCGCCCTGCAGGGAGCCCTCCTGTCCCCGAAGCCCACAGCCCTGGCTTTGACGGGGCCAGCTTCGTCGGAGGCATGGTGCTGGTGCTGAGCCTGCAGGCGGTGGCCTTCTTCGTCGTGCGCTTCTTCAAGGCCAAGGACAGCACCTACCAGACACTGTGAGTACCTGACCGCCAGCCAGCGGGAGCCGGCTCACTCCCCCACCCCGCTCCTGTCCCTGTAAGTGACAGTGTGCTGTCTTCCCTAAGGGCAGTGACTCCCTCCCAGGGTCCCCCATGTGAGTCACACCCCTCGCCTCCCTCCCGTGTGGGGTTCTCTCTGCCAGGTATGGACTCAGCCTGGGCCTGGTTCTGAGAGCCCAGCTGAGCCCACTTGTCTTGCTCCCTCATGCTGCCAGCAGGGAGGAGAACCAGTAGGTGACAGCCCAGGCGCCACTCGGCCTGCAGCTCTGCGGCCTTGGCAGGACCTTGGCTGTGTGTGCGGTTTGGTTTTCCTCTGCGCAGGGGAGCTGCTCAGAGACCCCCGTGTGCCGTGTGTGCTGTGGGCGGGTCACTGCAGCCTCCATCAAAGTGTTTGCTCTCCCAGCTGCTGCCTGCTCTCGGGGGTGGGGTGGGGGGGGCCTCAGCCCGGCTGAGGCAGGGCCCCCGCCGAGTGCCCTCTCTGTCTGGCCTCTGCAGAATCTGACCCCCTTCAGGCCTGGATTCCACACTGAGGGGAAGGAGGACGAAGAGGCGGCCCTCTGGGGGGCACTGGGGGGAACTGGGGATGGGAAGAACTTTGGCCACCAATTTCTGGCCCCGGAAGGCACCGAGCAGTCTCTTTGTCAATACCTGGGCCTGGTACCTGCAGCTGAGAGCATCCGTCAGCCGCCTCCTGCCTCATCGGTCAGCCCTGTGGGCCCCTCCGGTCCCTGCTTGGCACTGGGCCTGTGCCCGCCTCTTCCCACCGACCTGGCCTGGGCACTGCCCCAAATAAAGGAACTCGTTCCAGCTGTGCTTTGTGTCCGTGTCTTGCCCTGTGTGTGGGTTGGATGGGGGAATGCCACTATCCCTTCCTTAGTGGGAATTCAGCCTCGGACAGTTGCTGTCACTTGGAAAATATTTCCATCTGTCATACGTGTTAACCCCTCCCCGACCCTTTACAGATAAGAGTACAGCGACTCAGAGAGGTAAGTGTACCTGCTCCAGGTCACACGTGGGATGGGGCAGGGCTGGGCTGGAATCCAGGTTTTTCTAGCTCCCGGTGAGCAGAACTTCAGAACTCCCTGCAGAGCATCTTCCAGGCTCTCAGCCAAGGTGGAGGCACCCCGTAACTCTCAACAGCCACTTCCTCACTCAGGCCCTGCTGGGAGGCCCCCCCATGCCCTCCCCCCCACAATCCCTGGGTCCAGAAGTCTTCCCTGACTAATAGCATCTCCCAGTGTGGGGCGCATGCTGGAAGCCAGGCATGTGGCTGAGAGTCTGATCCGTAATCCCAGGACTGTCCTAGGAAGCGGGGAGTTCAGCCTGTGGAACCTGACTGCTCTGTGTGAACGGGAGCACGTTATTTCATAGCTCTGGGCCTCAGTTTCCTCATCTGTCAAGAGGGATAACAACAGTATCCATCGCAGTGGGACTGGGGAAGGTTCAGAGCAGGCGCAGGTCCCCATCTGCTTCATGCCAGCGCACCCACCCACCCTGCCAGCGGCACAGCCTGCAGCCAAGCCTTCTGCACCTCTTCTCCGGGTCTCCGCTGCCGCAGGATGTCCACGGGGAGTTCTGGCTGCTCCTGGCCTCACAGAGGGCTCACTGCCTACACACCACGCCATCAACACAAAGCAGTCCACGCACACTTCCACCCGCGCCCCCACCCTCTCAGACAGCCTCCCCTTGAACCTCCAGCCACTTGGATCTCTACCTCTTGTTACACGGCCTGTCTTCCTGCTCCAAGCCTTTGCACATGCAGTTTCTCCTGCCTGAATCACCCTCCCGGCTTCTCCCTTCTCCAACCAGCACTTAAGAACTGACAGGGCCCTAACCGGTTTGGCTCAGTGGATAGAGCGTCGGCCTGCGGACTGAAAGGTCCCAGGTTCGATTCCGGTCAAGGGCATGTACCTTGGTTGCGGGCACATCCCCAGTAGGAGGTGTGCAGGAAGCAGCTGATCGATGTTTCTAACTCTCTATCCCTTTCCTCTCCTCTCTGTAAAAAATCAATAAAATGTATTTAAAAAAAAAAAAAGAGCTGGCAGGGACCATGCCCATTCTCTCTGGGAGGGAGGAAATGCCCCGCCTCCTGCTGGCTCTCCGCGCAGTTAAGAAAATTCACTCATTGAATGTTTTCTTTTTCTAAAGTAGTAAATGCCAGTAAGGAACAAAAGGACTATACAGAAGTTTATATAAAGAGTGAGAATTGCCCTGGCCAGTGTTGCTTAGTGGTTAGAGTGTCGGCCCACGCAACAAAGGGTCGTGGGTTTGATTCCCGGTCACGGGCAGGTACCGGGGTTGCAGGCTGGATCCTTGGCTGGTCTGGGCGAGTGCAGGAGGCAACCAATTGATGTCTCCCTCACATTGATGTCTCTTTCTCTCTCTCTCTCTCTCCCCACCCCCTCTCCTTTCCCACTCTCTCTAAAATCAATGGAAGCCCTGGCTGGTTTAGCTCAGTGGAAAGAGCATAGGCCGTGCACCGAACGGTCTCAGGTTCGATTCCCTGTCAAGGGCACGTACCTGGTTTGCAGATTTGAGCTCTGAACCTCCCCCCAACAGTGGCATGTGTGGGAGGCAACCAATGGATGTGTCTCTCTCAGATCGATGTTTCTCTCCCTCTTTCTCTCCTCCCTCCCTTCTACTCTCTCTAAAAATCAATGGGAAAAAATATCCTCAGGTGAGGATTAACAACAACAACAAAACAAGCGAGCCTTGCCCTAACCGGTTTGGCTCAGTGGATAGCGTCGGCCTGCGGACTCAAGGGTCCCAGGTTTGATTCCGGTCAAGGGCATGTACCTTGGTTGCAGGCACATCCCCAGTAGGAGTGTGCAGGAGGCAGCTGATCAATGTTTCTCTCTCATCGATGTTTCTAACTCTCTATCCTTCTCCCTTCCTCTCTGTAAAAAATCAATAAAATATATTTAAAAAAAAAAAAAAGAAAGAGTGAGCCTTAGCCGGTTTGGCTCAGAGGATAGAGCGCTGGCCTAAGGGTCCCAGGTTTGATTCCGGTCAAGGGCATGTACCCTGGTTGCAGGCTCCTCACTCGCCCGGGCCCTGGTCGGGGCTCATGCAGGAGGCAACCAATCAATGTGTTTCTCTCACATCGATGTTTCTCTCTGTCTTTCCCTCTCTCTTCCACTCTCTAAAAATCAATGGAAAAACATCCTTGGGTGAGGATTTAAAAAAAAAAAAAAGAATGAGAATCGCTGTCCCACTGGTCTCACTCCCCAGAAGTAACCATGGTTCGCATACGCTTCAGACCTTTTCCTGTGAATTCACAACATTTAGCTTCTTTAATACACAGTGGGACTGTGCTATCCGAGTACATATTGTTCTGCAACTTTGCCCCATTCATTATCCATCAGATTTGCCTTATGACTTGTCCACATGGTGATAGCTTATTGGCCTGCATCCTATCAGTGTCAGTGGGTCATTTCCACATTGGCTATCACTAGCATAAACAGCATCGTGATAAACAGGCTCGTCACAGATCTTGGCACACCAGTGGGAGCGTTTGGGGAGCACAGATTTCCAGAACTGGAACTTAGGGTTCCTCAGAGCATCCACGTCACAGACCCATCCTGCCTGGAAATTCGGCCTCCCCTTTCCTGAAGCCCCATTGTACTTCAGCCCGCCCCACCCCCACAAGTTCTGGGTCTAGCATAGAGGAAGCCCTCAGGGAGGGTTTGATGAATGAATGAATGATGAATGAATGAATGAATGAGATTCCCCTCACATCCCCTACCACTTGTGGTCCCTCTCCAGCTCAGACCTCACTCCTCACATCTGGATCATGGCTGTTGCCTCCTTGCTGCCTGGGCCGCCCATGCAATTGGTCTATATTAGCAGCTGTTTCCTAGGCCCAGCCAGGGGCTCCCCAAGGGACTTGAGGGTGGGCATGAAGTCACTTTGCTAAGGGTCCCTCTCTCTGGTGGAGGGCATGGGACTTGGGCAAAATCGCTGGGGCCCTGGGCATATAAGTGCCAGAGAGACCACAAGTCATGTCCTGTCCCTGGGCCTCAGTTTCTCCTTGCTTATTCCTTCATGTAACCAATATTTGTTGAACACCTGCTTTGTACCAGGCCTAAAACCCAGGGCCAGTAATAATGACTATGACTGTGTGAGGATCAGAGGCGACATACAAACTGTGCCCAGGGGGACAGGTGGAGTGCAGCAGCTGCCGATAAGTGGTAGCAGGGTCACTAGCACTGCTGACAGGATCGGGGAATGATTCCTAGTGAAGGTGACCTTAGGGCTGGAACTTCACGCACAGGCGGGGCTTCACAGTGGAGGCAAAGAGAAGGGCATGCCAGATGGAAGGCTCAGAACGAGCTGAGGTTCAAAGGCGGAGAGTCCCCTGTGAATGCAAAGGTCTGGAGAGAGATGGCCCGGGAGCCCTGGCGGCCAGGATCAGAAGCTGGACTCCACCCCAGGTGAACGGGGCAGGGATAAGGCTCATTCTCTTTGGGGCCCAGGGAGGAAATGCCCCACCTCCTGTCGGTTCCAACCTGGGTGGAGTGTCCGTGGGGAAAGACAATGGGCGGAAGTCTTCCTCCGTGTTCTGCCACCAGCCTGGCCCCTTATAAACTGGCATCCTCTCTCGAGGGCACACCAGTGGCAGAGCAAGATGGGCCTCCTGCGGACTCCACTGTCCCTTTTGCTCCTCCTGCTCAGGGAGCCTGCCTGCCTGAGGACTGAGGACCACCCCCGCTGTCCAGGTAGGGTCCTAGGCTTCACTAGCCTCAAGAGCAGGTGGCAGTTTGACAACCTGGGCTCTGCAAATAGATGCAAAGAGTGCAGAGCTTGGAAAGCTCTTGGAGGCAAGTATCCCGGCAGCTAGAATCTGGGAGATGGAAAGGGGACCGCAGAGAGGCCTGGGAGAGAGAGACATGCCCACTCCCCCATGACCACTCTGTGCCCACCCGGCCCCGCATCTCCCTGCAGAACCCAGGGAACTGGAAGCCAGCAAAATTGTCCTCCTGCCCAGCTGTCCTGGAGCCCCAGGGAGTCCTGGGGAGAAAGGAGCTCCAGGCCCTCAAGGTGAGCGATACCAGCGAGCGGGCGGGGACCTGGGGGGAGCTGGGAGGCTGGCGGCAGTGCAGCAATAACTGCTAAGAGGCCACGATGAAAGGACCAGGAACTTGCTGTATGCCGGGCTCCAGGCGGGGCGCCCAGTGTCCAAGGTCAACTCTATGAGGTGGGTGGAGAGTTCCCCCCATTTTACTGAGGGGAAAGTGAGGCCCCAAGAGCATAAGGCCTTTGTCCACAGTTACAGCCAGTGGAGGGTGCAGCTGGGATTGGACTTCTGGCTGCAAATCCCTGCTGCTCCGGCCCTGGGTATGGAGTGGGACTTACAGCATCTCTGTCTCTGGATTTCAGGGCAGCCTGGACCACCGGGCAAGATGGGCCCCAAGGGTGAGCCAGGTGAGTGTGTGGGACCCGGGCCTCTTCTTCCTTTGCTCTGTCCCTCAGGTAGAGAGGGAGAGTGCTCTGCGGGGCTGCTGCTCAGCCATCGGCTGTGACTGCCCTCCCGCAGGGGGAGGAAGGCTGAGAGGAGTGGGCAAGGTTAGAAGGGCCTGGGCACCCTCCCCTCTGGTGGCTGGCGGGCATCCCCTCGGGGGTACTCAGACTTTAGAGCCAACACCCGGTCTTTCCGTGGGACAGGAGATCCAGCGAACCTGCTCCGGTGCCAGGAGGGTGAGGCAGCTTCCAGGAGCCGGGGACTTGGAACCAGGCGGTGCTGGGGTGTTGGTGGACCACCAGGCGTGGGCCAGCCCTAGAGCCCCTGTCAGGGGCCTGAAGGAGCAGAGCAGGCTCCTGAGGGTCCACACTGAGCCTCTGACGTTGCCCATGGGTGGGGGTGGGGCATAAC